AGTTGTAAGGGACCTTGGAGGTCATCTAGTCCAACCCCCTGCTCAGGCAGGAAACCCTATACCATTTCGCTTCTTAAAATCTTCCAGTGTTGGAGCATTTACCGCTTCTGGAGGCAGGTTGTTCCACTGGTTAATTGTTCTAACTGTCAGGAAGTTTCTCCTTAGTTCTAGGTTGCTTCTCTCCCTTGATTAGTTTCCATCCGTTGCTTCTTGTCCTGCCTTCCGGCGCTTTGGAAAATAGCTTGACTCCCTCTTCTTTGGGGCAGCCCCTGAGATACTGGAAGACTGCTATCTTGTCCCCCCTCGTCCTTCTCTTCGTTAAACTAGACATACCCAATTCCAGCAGCCGTTCCTTATATGTTTTAGCCTCCAGTCCCCTAATCATCTTTGTTGCTCTTCTCTGTACTCTTTCTAGAGCAGGGGTCCTCAACCTTGGCAACTTTAAGATGTGTGGACTTCAACTCCCAGAATTCTGGGAGTTGAAGTCCACACGTCTTAAAGTTGCCAAGATTGAGGACCCCTGTTCTAGAGACTCAACATCTTTTTTACATCGTGGTGACCAAAACTGGATGCAGTATTCCAAGTGTGGCCTTACTCAGGCATTGTAAAGTGGTATTAATACTTCACGTGATCTTGATTCTATCCCTCTGTTAATGCAGCCCAGCACTGTGTTGGCTTTTTTGGCAGCTGCAGCACACGGCTGGCTCATATTTAAGGGATCGTCCATTAGGACTCCGAGGTCCCTCTCACAGTTACTACTATTGAGCAAGGTACCCCCTATACTGTACCTGTGCATTTGGTTTTTCTTGCCTAAATGTAGAACCTTACTTTTTTCACCATTGAATTTCATTTTGTTAGATAGCGCCCAGTGTTCAAGTCTGTCCAGATCCTCCTGTATCCTAAGCCTGTCTTCTGGAGTGTTGGCTATTCCTGCCAGCTTGGTGTCGTCTGCAAATTTGATGAGTTCCCCATCTATCCCCTCATCCAAACCGTTGTTGAACATGTTGAAGAGCACTGGGCCCAGAACAGAGCCCTGGGGCACCCCACTACACACTTCCCTCCATGTAGATGCGGTTCCATTGAGGACCACACGCTGAGTACGGCCGGTTAAGTTTCCCACGCCTTGCGAAAGAGGGGAAAAAGAACTTGAAACGGTTGAACTACTACATCTACTTACAGCCTTAAAATCTTTACCCGTGCTTAACTTCCTTTGAGTAAACTAAAAATAATAATAATTTTTTTTCCACAAAAAGGGAAAAGGTGTGTGTGTTTGTGTCTTACCTTATCAAATAGCAGCAGAAAAGTAAGCTGAGGATGAAGACAAAAATTGCCGTGCCGAAGACCACGATGTATATGTTGAGAGGCAGGTTCTGGAATCCAATGTTTGGCATCCTGAAACTGTAATGCTGGAAATCTGAGCTCATGGATGGTCTGTGGAGAAACCACAAAAAGAAAGGGGGAAAAAACACCACACGGTGAGAATCCACAACTCCCTTCTCTGTTGGGAATTTAACACCCCAACATTCAATGCAACTCAATCATTCTTAAGAGAAAAACAAAGCAACAATAATAAAAAAAATAGGATACAGGTAGTCCTCGACTTACAACCGTTTGTTTAGTGACCGATTTGTAGTTACGACGGCACTGAAAAAGGTGATTTAAGATCGTTTTCCCCACTTATGACCGTTGCAGCATGCCCGCGGTCATGTGATCAAAATTCAGACACTCGGCAACTGACTCATACTTATGACGGTCGCGGTGTCAGGGATTTGGGACCGGTTTTTTTCACACTTAGGACTATTCGAAGTTACAACGGCACTGGGAAAAGTGACGTAGGACCAGTTTTCACACTTAACGACCGTTGCAGTCGTTAAGTGTGAAAGGGTGTTCAAAATTCAGAGGCTCGGCAACTGGCATGTACTTAGGACGGTTGCAATGTCCCGAGGTCATGTGATCCCCTTTTGCGACTTTCTGACGAGCAAAGTCAACGGGGAAAGAGGGATTCACTTCACAACTGTGTCACTAACTTAACAACTGCAGGGATTCACTAAACACCCGCGACAACTGTGTCGCTTAGCAAGGGAAATTTTGAGCTCAATTTGGTCGTAAGTCACGGGGACACACACACGTACAAGGCTGAAAATGAAAGTGGACAAAGAAGAGCATTTACATCACAACAGAAAGAGGTACACACAACTACACAAAGGCCACAGTGAAAGACTAGGAGAAAAGGGTTGATTCTGTTTCTGAAAAACTGAACACCGTTTTTAAGAGAGGACAGGGATGGGCGCACCAAAATAGGGAATGGAGATAGAAATTGTGTCGGATTGTGACAGGCGAAAAAGAGATACACACTTGTTAGGGGAAACAACACCAGGTGCGTGGGAGAAAGGGATTGTTAACATGACCCCTTTCACGCCTCAGCTCTTTTTTTTTAAGGTTTTTTTTTAAATTAGAATGTATGGTAACATAAAATACAAATAGAAATAAAGATCAGAAGGGGAAGGAAAAAAAAGAATTCAGGGTAAAATAGAAAAAGAGAAGAGAAGAAACACTTCCATTTTTTTTTTTTTGGGTGAGGTAAAGTACAAAATTACAGTTGCAGCCTCAGCATTTTACTTTACATTTTTAATAGAGAGAAGCTATTTCTGTAACAGGCGTTATTATTTTGGTTTTATTAAAGTTTGTAATAGTATATAGGGGAGGGAAGAGAAGGGGAGGGGAGGGGAGAAAAGAAAGAAAGAAAGAAAGAAAGAAAGGGAAGGGAAGGGAAGGGGAAAGATGAAAGAAAAGGAGAGGAGAAAAGAGAAGAAAGAAGGAAAGATGAAAGGAAAGGAATCGAAACAAATCAAAGGACTCCAGAACCCACATACAGCACACCAAACATGTCTCAGACTCATGGGCTTCCCCATAGCTTCCCCAGGCCTCCTTCACACACCCCCCATATGAACCCCAAAGTAGAGCAGGGGTGGGCAACTATAACCCCTTGACAACCTGCGGACTTCAACTCCCAGAATTCCTGAGCCCGCCTAGAATTCTGGGAGTTGAAGTCCCCAGCCCGTCAAAACTACCCGAGTTGCCCGTCCCTCTAGGAAGGGCACGCCAAAAGGGAAAACCGATCTCTTTGACCTTGCTCTGAAGGCGGCAGCCCAACGCGGGAACCTGCAGGCACTCGAACCCAGCACAGCCCAACCCCGAGCGGCAGCCTTGGGCCACCTGTCACGTAGGCCAGCTCCCCTTCGGTGGAAGCGACACCGCCACCTCGTTGGCAGGCTGCCAGCAGGCTCCGAAAACCAGTGAAGACACTCACATGTTGTGCGGCATGGTGCCCGGGACCCACCCAGCAATTTTTTTCGCAAGACCGGGGAACAGTGCAAAAGTGGCTTTTCCTGCAAAAAGCTCCGTCGAAAGTGGCTTTTCCTGCAAAACTCCGTCGAAAGTGGCTTTTCCAGCAACAGCAACAGCAGCAACAGCAACACCGTTCTTGTCAGCGTGGCAAGGAGCAGTTTTGCATCCGGTCGAAACACCACCCTCCCGAGTGTGTGCTTTCGGCTGTTTTGATTTGGGCTGGCTGTTCCCCAACTGACCGTCCCCTTCTGAATTAACTTGGCTGAGTCTCCCTCCGAGAAGCTGCGAGCATTCCTGTCTTTGCTAGGCGTGGTCTCCCCATTCGTGGCCCTGGCTATGTGCCATTTGCAGGAGGAGGAGGGAGGAGGAGGAGGAGGAAAGGAAGGAAGGAAAGAGGAGAGGAGCTTTCCACTGGACGCGTGAAGTAGCCAGAGGAAATTTCCAAACCCCCATAAAAATAGACTTTTTCCCCCCGCAGGGCGCCTGCCTTCCCCAACACAGTTGCTCGGCAGGTTTTAGACTGAATTCCTTAATTCAGCCCCCAAACAGGATAAACTGGGGGGGTCAGTGCAGAATGCTCCCTTCTGACCGGTCTCCATCTTCACCACCCCAATGTCCTGGCTTCCTGGAGGGAAGCAGAAGATGTGGACTAGTAGGACCCGGGAAGTATGATACGGTTTGGATGCCCAGATCGACTTCATGGACGCCAGTGGCTGGGAACACACAACGCACACCGCTGCAAAGTCGTTTCTGAACGAGCTCCCACGGGGGATGCCAATCCCCTATTGATATCTAGCATCTTAGAGCCGGGGGTCTCCGACCTTGGCAATTTTAAGATGGGTGGGCTTCAATTCCCAGAATTCCCCAGCCAGCCATGGAAACTTGATTTTATAATGTAGAGAGGGAGATAGACAGACAGACAGACAGACCGAGTCACTTTAGGAGAAACAACAACATCATAATCAACATCAACAATACTAAGAGTTGGAAGGGACCTTGGAGGTCATCTAGTCCAACCCCCTGCTCAGGCAGGAAACCCTATACCATTTCGGACAAATGGCTGTCCAGTCTCTTCTTAAAAACTTCCAGTGTTGGAGCATTCACCGCTTCTGGAGGCAGGTTGTTCCACGGGTTAATTGCTCTCACTCTCAGGAAATTTCTCCTTAGTTTTAAGTTGCTTCTCTCTTTTTGTGGTGAAAAGGATCACCATCAGCTCCTGCTCAGCCTCCCCTCGTTTCCTATTGATCTAGGAGCAGATCTACGGACTTTCCCACACGGTTCAAAGAGAAAACAACGTGGTGAAAAATTATTTCCGCCCGAAGAAAAATAAAATTAGGATGCAAGAAAGAATGAAAGTGGCGACATCGTCCCGAGGCGTCGCTTGCAAGACCAAGGAACTCACCCACGGCATAAAAATAATAATAATAATAAATGTGGCTCACCTCATAGGAGAGGAAGAAAATATTTTTTTTTGTCCTTATACAAAACGTGAACAGAACAGAATAACAGTGTTGGAAGGGACCTTGGAGGTCATCTAGTCCAACCCCCTGCTCAAGCAGGAGAAACCCGTTTCTGACAAATTTCTGTCCAGTCTTTTCTCGAAAGGCTCCAGGGATGGAGCACCCACAACTTCAAGCTATTCCACCTGATAGATGGCTGTAACCATTAGGAATTTTACTCCTTAGTTCCAGGTTGCTTCTCTCCTTGATTGGTTTCCATCCGTCGCTTCTTGTCCTGCCTTCAGGGGCTTTGGAGAATAGCTTGACTCCCTCTTCTTTAGGGCAGCCCCTCAAATATTGAAAGACTGCTATCAAGTCACACACACACACACACACACACACACACACACACACACACACACACACACACGGTCCTTCTTTTCACTAGACTAGACATACCTAATTCCTGCAGCCGTCCTTCATAGGTTTTCGTCTCCAGGCCTTTAATCATCTTAGTTGCTCTTCTTTGCACTTTTTCAAAGTCTCAACATCTTTTTTATAGCGTGGCGACCAAAACTGGATGCCGTATTCCAAGTGTGGTCTTACTAAGCCTTTATAAAGCGGTACTAGTACCTCATGTGATCTTGGTTCTATCCCTCTGTTAATGCAATCTAGGATTGCACGTTTGTGTCTGTATGTGTGTGTAACGTGGGGGGGAAGGGTCTTCAGGGTGACCACAGTCACCATGAAGCAGTGTGGTCACCTTCCTTACTCAACACATATTTTGCGCAACCCGAGAAGGAAACGGAAGAGGCTGCAGGAAAACAAAGGAGAAAGGCTGACAGCCTGGCCTAGTGGCAAATTCCAGGAAATGTGGACGTAACACACTCACACGTCCACACCCACAACGACATCATCCTTAGTGTTTACACAGACTTCCTGTCTAGAAAAGCATTGGACTCACTGCCTCTTCCTGGACGCACAATCTAAGATACGGTGCAAGGATTAAAACAATTTGTTGTTGGGAGTGTTGAATTTGTGTGGCCTTGCAGAAACAACCGTGTCTGTCTGGTAATTTCCTTCCTGAGGCATGTCTTTTTTTCTTTCAGTCTGTTCTAATCCTGCTTTTGATTTAGTTGCGTTTTTAAATTATAAATATGAGTATCAGCTGCTCCACGGGCGGTTCAATTCGATAATTTGCCACGAAAGATTTGAGTAATATTTCCCATCTTATTGGCAACAGGAGGAGGGAACAATTTTGACACAGAAAATTAATTAAACGGAACAAACCACCATAAAGCTAAGTGGACGGTTGTGGATGTATGGGCACCTATACCAGGGATAGGAAACCTTGGCTCTTTTATGACTCGTGGACTTCAATTCCCAGAATTCCTGAGCCAGCATGGCTCAGCTTGGAAACCTCTCCCTTTCCCCTCAGCATGGCTGGCTCAGGAATTCTGGGAGTTGAAGTCCACAAGTCATAAAAGGGCCCAGGTTGCCTACCTCTGGCCTAGGCCTAGGCTGCTTTATGACTCGTGGACTTCAACTCCCAGAATTCCTGAGCCAGCATGGCTCAGCTTGGAAGCCTCTCCCTTTCCCCTCAGCATGGCTGGCTCAGGAATTCTGGGAGTTGAAGTCCACG